TTGACTATAATCATAACGAAAAATTAGTTAACGAGTATACGTACACCCCATCCTGTATATACAAATTAAAATGGTCCAAAGGGGTATAAATGATTATTTGAAATAACTTTAGATGGGGCAAAAGGACTAAAAACAGATGTATAAACAGTATAATAACAGTATATTACTTTTTGGAAAACAATATTTAAATAATTGAAGGGACAGAATGTATGTAGTAAGTACAAAATAAGTAGTAACATATAATATATTAAATAAACATTTAAAATGAGAAACTAAATCTCTTAAATTATACTGGTTAGCCAGTAACTGAAAACAGTATTAGCACTTCACAAATGAAAACAAAACAAGTTTTCAAACTGTATACATAAAAGTGACCGAGTCGATTTGATCAATTGATCTACATATTAAATAAGAAATATCAGGTTTAAAATTTTGTTTTTACTTATTCAATCAAAATCGTTATATAGAATTTATGTGATGTTATTTACTTTTTAAGAGTGTAACTCCGTTTCTAATCAAAGATAACAATTTTGAGCACTAGATATAAAAAAGTCTTTATTAAAAAGAGATTTTTCAAAAATGAATCTTATATTACACGAAATATAAATTGATCGAATCCTAATAATTATGAGACACATTTACCCTTATAAGTTTAAACTAACAACCTTTTTTTTTCCTTCTTTCTATTATTATTATTGTTCATCGTTATGATTTATTAGGTGACGTCTTTTTATTACTTAAAATAAAATCTTTATTCGATTAAAAATATTTTTATCTTACTCATTTATATATGAGATAACTTGTTTTATCACTAAGATATAAAAATAAAATAAACAATCTTAAAATTGTCTAATACTTTTGTTCAAACACTGAATAAAATAATTTGATATTTTATTTTTGAAATTACTCCACCTTATACGTTACATCAAACAATTTATAAAGACTCCACAATCAAAAAGTTATAAGTAATAATGAATTGGGAAGAGGGACTAACAAAAAGTTTAAGAAATTGATAGAATTTAAAAATTAATTTACTCATTAATTCTACCTTTTTCAAAAATATTAAATATCTAAAAAAAAATTCACTTATTTCAATTTATATGATATTTTTTATTTTTTTGAAAAGTCAAATAATTTAAGTTTGATAAAAAATTCGTGCATTAAATCTCCAATTTTTTAAAGATGAAATTTATATATTTGCTAACTGTGTTGTATAAGTCACAATAATTGATAAAAAATCATTAAAAAATTTTAAAAAATATGAAAACTTACTGTAAAAAATAAACTTATTTAAATCACAAAATCTTGAAAGTATCACATAAAATGAAACTAGGACGGAGAGACTATTATCTTTTTCTTGATACGTCAAAAAGAAATAAAATAAAAAGTCAAAATTAAATTCTTCTTTTAAAAAAAATGGTAAAATAATACTTTGAACATGGGGCCTATAAATACTCTCTATTTTTCTCCTAATCATAAAACAAAACAAAAAAAACTTAGCTTTTGTTCTGTTCTCTTTCATTCCCAAAATTCTTCTTCTTTGGTTAAACTTCCTTTTAGTCTAATCAAATCATTATTCACAAATATACACAATATATACAAAAAATATACATCTAGAAAAAAGAGAAAAAAAGACCAAAAATGGAAGAAGAAAGAAGATCAAAGTTTAAGAGAATTTGTGTTTTTTGTGGAAGTAGTTCTGGAAATAAACCTACTTATCAAGAAGCTGCTACTGAATTAGGAAAACAACTGGTAAACAAAAAAAAAATCCAATTTTTATTTATTATATTATTCATTTTTTGGTTTCAAGAATCATAAAGTTTTGTGCTTTTTTAGTTTTTATGGATAAAAAATATGTTTTTTTAGTAATGTTAGTTGAAATTAGGAACCCCATTTTGAGTTTTTGTTCATTTTTTGTTTTTCAAGAATCATAATGTTTTGTGCTTTTTATTGATAAAAATCTGTTCTTTTTAGTAATGTAAGCTGAAAAATGGTTGAATTTAGGAACCCCATTTTGAGTTTTTGAGTTTTTGTTCATTCTGTGGTTTTCAAGAATCATAAAGTTTTGTACTTTTTATTGATAAAAATCTGTTCTTTTTAGTAATGTTAGTTGAAATTAGGAACCCCATTGTGAGTTTTTTGAGTTTTTGTTCATTCTCTGGTTTTCAAGAATCATAAAGTTCTGTGCCTTTTATGGATAAAAATCTGTTCTTTTTAGTAATGTAAGCTGAAAAATGGTTGAAATCAAGAACCCCATTTTTGAGTTTTGAGTGTCTGTTTATATTGTATTCCATTTTTTAAATGATTCCAACATGTTTTTTTTGTTGTCATTTTCAAGAAAAAGAAAGTTTTGTGCTTTTCTTGAAAAAGTTCTGTTCTTTTTGGATACTATCATCAAATCATTAAATGTAAGTTGAAAAATGGTTGAAATCAGGAAACCCCATTTTGGAGTTTCCAACATGGGGTTTTTCTATTCTCACATTTCTTTCTTAAAAAACAGAACTTTTTAATGTAGGGTTTTATCTATTGTTTGGCATGACTGAGAGATTAAAAAAAAATGGTGTGGTTAGCTGTTACATGTTTGTCATTTGAGCAGCCTTCTTGCATGATCTTAGTTTATGGGGTCACTATAAAAAAATGGCTTTCATTAGGAGCCAAATATGCCACTTTGATATCATGACCCCCTTTCTCTTTTAGATGTTGTTTTTTTTGGTGTCATGAAATATGTTTTTGATGTAAAAAGTATGCATGTGGGATTTAAACATATACTAGTAGTAATACTTTTGTCCATATGTTAAGCTAATCTTGATTTTCATGCTTGTTTTCTTGATTGTGTGTGTGTGAATTTTGAGTTGGTATAGTAAATTTTTTCCTTTGCTATTTTTGTTATGTTTGAAATTTGTATGTGTATACTCTATCCTCTTCAGACTCCGCTCTGTATGACTACTTTGGTGCATTGTTGTATATGGTAAAGTTACCCTTTTTTGCTTGCGTTTCTATTTTCCTCAGACTCCACTTTGTGCGACTATGTTTGTCTATTGTTGTTTATAGTTTAAAAAAAAGATTGAAGTGATGATGGGGTGTAATGTTTCTTGATTTATTGGTTTTTGTGTTGAAGGTGGAAAAAGGGATTGATTTGGTGTATGGAGGAGGAAGTGTGGGACTAATGGGACTTGTTTCTCAGGCTGTTCATGATGGTGGGCGCCATGTTCTTGGGTAATTAATCCCCTATCCTCTTTTCTATACATAATATATACATACAATATACTATTTATACACACACTTCTCTCTCTTTATATATAGAACACTTTATCTCACTATAACACAAACATAGATAAGACAACACACATAGGAAAAAGGTTTTGATGTTGAGGTCTTCAAAGACATCCATCATTTAAACCTCATAATTTTGGTCTATCTTTTGGATTCGGGTGGATGCTTTGTGTACCAGACTAGCTCCTTTTTTCGCTCTAGCTAATGGGGTTGGTGAAAAATAACATGTTTTCCTCTTGCTTTATTTTCTTCTCCGTTTTATATGTGATATAGTTTGGATATTGACACAGCATTTATGAAAAAGATCAAGACTTTTTAACATCATATGTGTAGAGCTATAAAGTTTTACTTATGTGTGAAGTATAATCATATCGTGTCATTCTTTTCGGAACAGACTGACAAAGAAATAGTGTTGAACAAGATGGAACAAAGGCAATGATGTTTAGTTAGTTTTTAGACTATAGACCATGCAAAAGGCAGACATCATTGGATCAAATGTTGGTTTTCTTGATAATTAATGTTTGGTGTTTGTCATATATTGAAGAAACAAAAACTAATCCTTTTGTTACACTTATAGTGAACAGCTTCTTAACATGTGAAAACTGAAAAAAAAGTACTCTGTAAATCTTTTATAGTAACAAGAAATCCTATGAAAGTGTCTTTTGTGGTATGGCCTTGAAATCCATTTTGGTTTGTGGGAATGTGTGTCACAAAGGCAAAAAGGAAGTGTATAAAGTTAGAAGCCTTTTTAGGGCACTGATTGATGCATTTTCCAAATCT